GAGTATTTTGGTTTATTTTTGCATATTTGAAAGTATTTTTTCCCAGCTCTTTTTAAAGGAAATGAAAAAAAAAAAAAAGGATTTTTTTCATTTCTCAGCGGAGAAAAGGAAAAAGCTAAGATTGCCCTTAGTGAAAAAACATTCATTTTTTAAATAAATGAATCTCTAGATATTGACTTCAAATTAAATATACTTGAACTTCATAACTACTTATCTGCAGAAACTGAAAAATATTTGATTAACTAGTGGTTACAGTCAGGAAATCCTTTCACAGATTACGTATTAAGGGCAAGCAATAAATTTTATTTCAATTTAAGAAACAAATATTATTAATTTTAATGCTATTTAATATTTAGAATCAGAAATTATAGGATAATTTAATTGCATCTATACGCTATTGTGTCGGAATTAAATTTTATAACATTACACTGCTGCATCATACTCTGGAACTCTTTTTGTGTAATTTAAATGGGATTTTTGAATTACGTTATAGGCATATGCAATACTTTCATGTTTCTCAAGCAGTTACTAACTAGAAATACTTTATTTTCTAAATAATTAAAATACTTTATTTTCTATTTGTTTTAAAAAATCAAGTTATATGCTAGAATAGAGATAGAAATACACCGAAAGTACCCTGAAATTTGGGACCCCAGTAACTACAAATGATTGTCGTTTTCAAATTGAGAGAATCTCGTTTTATTTGTTATGAATCATATCTGCCTTTTGAGAAGCCCAAACACTTCCTTAAAAACGCCAGAATTACATTTCATAAAAAGTTAGGAAAATATAACAGAAAAATGTTTTTGGAATAATAATATTTGTTCAAAAGAATGGGGCAGATTTTAATACCTATGTCCAAAGGGTTAAAATATTACTTATTTGAAACATTATTTAGTATAATAATACTACTACATTATTTTAATCTATAATGCTTCATTACAATAGAAACATATTCCTCGAACACATCAATAAGCATTCGGTTAAATTAAATACTGAATTTTCATTTTCTGTTTTATTAAATTCCTGCTATTAGCTCACACTCTCCCTATATCTTGTTCACATTTTCAATCGTTAACAAAATACTTTTTATTTATCCACTCAAGTTAGAATACATTTTTTTAAACTTGTAGTGGATGACACTTGATGTTAATACAGTTTTTTTCACATATTAAATTCGATTCCTACTTATTTATTCCTTTTATCGGAACTAAAGATATTCCTAAAGAACTAAAGATAATGTTTTTATTAAATATATTATATTATAAGACTTAGAAATAATGACAGTTTATTACGAATACTCCCGTGCTGTAGAAATCAATTTTATAACAACTTATAAATAATAGTACATAACTGTGATAAATGGGATTGTAATATTTAAAAAAAAATAAATGGCAACAGTAAGATAGATTTTTAAAGATTTTTAAAGTCCATGGAATTAAAGAACTGTAGTTTTATATAGTTTAATGAAGCGGATGTAATGTCCCATTTTGTAGAGAAAATTCTTCTCATAGTTCTATGTCAACGTGGTAATAATATATGTTTGAAATATAACCCTTTAAAATGTCCCTTGTTTCACAAACGGAGAATGTGAAAGAAACTACAACACAACGCAAGCGACGAATAGAGAACGTGTGAAATCATTAGAAGAAATATTAACTGAAGAACTGCAATGCTCGAAACTCACTGGAAAGGTTCCTTGCCATAATGAAGAATTACAAGAGATGGATAGACTGAAAAATAATACACCACCATCAGCTTCATAAATTTAGAAAGAAAAAAGTGTTAATAATGTTATTAAAAAGTAACTAAAGTAAACTTTTTCTTTGTTGACCTAAGTAAGAATTGACTTAAAAAGATTTTTTGTGTTACTTGTTTGTGTTTTGGATTCTAGAATTCGAATTGAGTATGGGAAACAATCATCATGAAACTTTGGTTAACGTGGTTTAGAGTTAAGTTTTGCTAATTATTATTTGTGCCGCAATTAAGAGAATTACGAAATAGATTTTTTTTTTTTTTTCTTTTTTTTTTCTTTTTAAGAAAGAACATTCTTTTCGTATTACACCCACGGAAAAACACGTAAATGCCACACAGCAGTCGATGTTCATCGAAACCATCACAAACGGAGATGTACGAGAGAATAAGCATTCCGGTAAAAAAGAAAGTAAGCAGAAATTCTTTAAATTCTAAAATTGGTTGATCACAGTTCTAAAATTTGTTGTAAAATGGCCACAAAACGTTGATTTTAAAACACTGCAGCACAAACCATCCTGGGAAAAAATAAACCATTTTCCAAAACACCACATAACAAAAACGTCGCAAACTACGTTGGAATACCTAATACGTTGGAAACTACTGGATCTAAACTAATATCTTAAAAGTTTTAAACGTATGGTTTTATAAACATGCAATAATGTGTAAATGCAAGATAAGGAATGCTGTTAGTTTTCTTCATTAAAAAATTATTTTAATTTTAAAATCAAGAAGAAAACTTTAACACTGAAATCAGAATTGAGTTAAAATTAACATATAGGATTTAAGAAAATTTGACATAGGTATAAAGATTCATTATTTAATCAAATCCTTTTGTATAAACGTATTAATAGATTTAGTGAAAACATATAATATAAAAATGATTATAAAATAGGATACACATGTTACAAATGTTACTTATGTCAAAACTTATAATTTATTTTCTTCCTCCTTTCCGCCTGCCCTTGAGGTGGAACTGAAAGCACGCTCGATGCCTATTCAGTACGTCCAGAGTTCGAATCTCTGCGATGGTATTGCTGTTTTCTGACATCGAAAAAAAAACTTATGATTTTATAAATTGCTTAAAAGGTTGTCAAGTTATAAAATGAACACATTTGCTCTTATTAGCATGGCATTCGCTTAGTAAACATCATGCTTTGTTCAATTTTGTCCCCTTTTTAATATGTAATTTCAACGGTATTTTCGACATTGATTCATTGTTATGGCAAAATATGTCAAGTTGGTTATTTGATATCTTGTAAAGACATTAGGTACTTTGGAAGCAGGAGATGTGAAAAATGAGCAATGCCCTCGCCGGGACTCGAACCACGGACCTCTCGAATTCCCGTCGAGCGTGCTGACCACTACACTACGAAAGCATGCTAAGAAGTTGGGAGAAATACCTTATAATTTTAGTTGCAGTATATTAAGGAGTTCGGGTTTAAATCGTACATTGAGAAGGTTGAATTAAAACAAAACTTTCGGTAATATAAATGGATCTTTTTTCCAGAAATACAATAAAATTACTAAACTTTCCCATTCAGGTATTTTTAAGCCCTTTGTTAGGTATCATTAAATTTTTTAGAAATATTTCAAAAATTAAAGAAATTTTTTGATTTTTGTAATACTTTAAAACCTATTTTTTATCACATTTCATTAACTTTTATATGAATTTAAAAAAGGGAAGACGTGCTTTCGTGGAGGACTTTCTAAGAGCAACTGATTCGTATGCATATTACACATGGGGAAAACCCAGAAAACGGCGATGCAAGAAGTCTGTTCTCTGGAATTCGGACCCTGGACCGAACTACAAGTGTTAGCGACTTTACCATTTCGCAGCGTGTAGACAATGATATGTAATAACTATATAAAGCCGAGAAATACCTTTATTTCATGTCCTGCGAATGAGGGCATTGGCCCTATATGGTTTTACCTATGATATAGAGTTAGGTCTTGGTAGGTTCCATAAACTATACCAAAACTCTAAAAGAATAGTGACGAATTATGCTGTCTTGTATATATCACACAGACAGGGAAAAGGTGTAAAGTGTTATATCTAAATCAAATGGTACCAATATGTTATAGAGAAAAAATCACGGTACCAATATGGTTTCCTACTCTGTTGACACTAACACTTAAAATATTTTTAACAGTAATATACTAATATCTATAAGCCCTGTACATTTTTGCGTTGTGTTTTCGGATTAACCCTGAAATCAACTTGAGAATGAGACGGGTAAAAATCATGAGCACACACACAAAAATTTAACCTTTGAATGATCTAGAAAAACTTATTTATTTAACTATTCTTGCCAATTATAAATATATATATATATCCATTAGTTTGAAAAAAAATATCAAAATATATTCAACAAAATTTGAACTATTGTTTTACAAACACATTTTACATCCTTGTAATTACTATTAAATTTAATATTGCAAATCTGGTAAAACATACCAAAATAAACTATAAATTTAAGAACACTACCCTCCCCGGGGATAAAATAATAAAAAAAATTAACAAGCTACACTTTCTACTTCACACAGAATTCATCAATACAACAAAAATATTGCTTAATATTGCACTCAATATAATCATTTAAATACTATTATTGCACATAATAATTTTTATTATTCAATTTTTTTTCTTAGATTAATTAAATGGTTTTTTAACCGGATAAGATAAGTAATGACACATTTACTATTCTACAAACAAGTTCGTCCTGAGAAACAAGAATGCTCTAATACAAGCACTATTTCAAATCATCCTCACCAATGAGTAATTCAAAAAAAAAAAAAAAAAACATTCAAGTAATAATTTCCCTGAAGAACTTAATTTTCTTAACCATTCAAGTTAAGTTACAATAATTTTAATAAGGTTATAAATCTTTATTCCATTTAATGCTTTTACTTGATTGATACACCCAAAGAAAAATGATTTCTATAGAGTTAGGATAAAGTTATCAACTACAAAAAAAATTTAGGGTTCAACAAATTAACAAATTAAGTTAATTCAATCATTTTAACTGCAGAAATCTATAATATTTAACTAACCAAGAATTAACCAAAAAGAAGAAAAGAACTTATCTGTTAAGGATCATAAACAAAAGAAATCCATCGAAGCTCATGAGGAATGCTGGCAGCCTGTTGAATGAAAAAAAAAAAAAATGTTCGTCGAACAGTTTTGGATTCAATTACTGTAGCCTAGAAGTTCTAGTAGAATTTTTAGGATGAAAAAATTGAGGTTTCCATTACGGCAAGATAAGTGAAATACAGTGCTGGCGGCCTGTTGAATGGAAAAAAGATGTTCGTAGAACAGTATGGATTCCTTACGGTAGCCTTGAAGTTCTAGTAGAATTTAGGATGAGCAAATGAGGTTCCAAAAGCAACGTGTTTAATTTATTCATTATGGTAGCCTTGAAGTTCTAGTAGAATTTAGGATGAGCAAATGAGGTTCCAAAAGCAACGTGTTTAATTTATTCATTATGGTAGCCTTGAAGTTCTAGTAGAATTTAGGATGAGCAAATTAGGTTTCCAAAAGCAACGGTTTTTAATTAACGCTTCTGGTCTCGAGTGAAGCGAACGAATCAATGGTGCGCATCATTTTTCTAGAAATTTACTTCTGTATATTTTCCTTGAAATAAACACAAACACACACAACAAAAACTGATGAAAGAATTTCGATTTGTTTTTTTTTTTTTTTTTTTTTTTGAAGACATAGATGCCCATACCTACGGCCCGCGCTCAACAGCGCTTAGCCAAGAGGCCCGTAGATCTATCAGGGGCGAAGCTCCATTTTCTTCGGTCGGAAGTCAGCTGTCGCCTCCGGCCAGCATTCAAAGGGCATTTCAAGAGGGTAAAGTGCAAAAAAGTGTCAAAAAGTGACCTCGTCCCCCAAAACAACCCGTTAAAAGGGAGAGCGCCGGAATTGCCAAGTTGGCGCAACCCATTTTTTTCGCCGAAAGTTGAAACCAGTTGCAACCACAGCATTACCCTCATGTTATCAAACTCGCCAAAACCACCTACTTTGAAACCTCAACGGAAAATTCTAAGTCGCCAAAACCCTCGCCAAATAACACTGCACCTGCGACCGGGGGAGATTAGGAATTTCAACAACCCTGCAAGGGTCCCAACGAAAGAACGCTGAAAACTCGCGAAAAGTGACTTTTCAACCGGAAAGAAGGCATTTCATCCCCCTTTAACTAAATCACAAGCGAAACGAAGAAAATCTACTAATTAAAGCTCATAACTGAAAATGCAATTAAAGTTAGAAAAATGAAAGTTATGCCAAATTAAGAGCTAATTTTTCTGCAACTAATGATATTAAATACTAAGAAATCAAATTAATTTTTGACATGAAAAACTGAGTTTATTACGCAGAAAAAAAATACTTATCCATTGTCTGCATGTACAAGATTGAAGACGCAGTTCGCGTAAACTCGGAAAGCCAAAATATATTACACTAGAATTAATAGGCCCAAAAAGAATATAACCAAACTTGTGTAGCTCAAATTTTGAATAATTATAACTTTAAAATTTTGATTTTTATTAATCACTTAGTTAAATTAAATTCGCTACACAACATCCCTCCGATGATCGTGAAAAAAAATTATTTTGGCGACGCCGAAAAAATTTTAGGACCACAGACAATGGAAAAGTTTTACATAAGTTACTAAATACGAAGAGGAAAAAAAAATACATAATGGTACCACATGTTAATTGCCAAACTAATAATCAACTCAAAACTAGTTGTCACGGAGAGCAGTGATAAAAAAAATTAAAATTTACTTACAAAGCACAAAGTTTAAATCAATTAAATTCAAAATCTAATTCCAACTCGAATAACCAATTAAACAGCAGCAGGAGTGAAGTGTCAAAAAAAAATCCATTTGCAAAACAAGTTAAACAAAAGTACAGAAACCACAAAAAAAAATCACAAGTGAGTGAAAAATTACACCTTAACAAATCAGTCAACCAACAGTGACACAAAAAAGGAAATCCTAAAAATTACACACTGAACTGAACCAGAAGCTGAAACAAACGGAGAACACCCCTAGGAACGGAAAAGAGAACGTGACCAAAAAAAAATTAAGCCGAAAAAAAACTAGAACGCATCTAGAAGCCAAAGGGAAAAAAAAATTTAGACAAACTTACTTGGAAACAAGGAAATTAAAATTCGGACCAGCCGAAAAATCCTTAAAAACAAAACACTATTGGGTCAAGAACTCGAAACCGAAACTAAAGAAATTCACCAAATGCAGACAACTCCTAGAGCAAACCAGTTGTAAAATACTGGAAGAAAAACCCTTTAACTAATCTTTTCAAGAAAACAAAACTAACACTCTAAAAAAAAATCAAATTCATAAACAATTCAAGCTCAAACCAAAAAAAATCAAATTCTGAAAATAGCCAAAAAGAATTCAACAAAACAGAACTGAAGCAGGTTACACACAGAATTTACACGTAAACAAGAAGGTGCCCAACAAAAGGTTTGCCACAATTTTTAAAGAAAACAATGCTGCCCCAATGTTCTCAAAGTCTAGATCCTGGTGAGTAATCAAAGAAGATGAAGAGTATGCATTGCACTCTAGGTAGCAATCGTAAGCATGACAACTTCACAACAAAACTACAAAACTGCAGGCACAAAAATGCAAAAGCAGACAAGAGGGAAGTGTTTACACAGAAAAAATCTCAACTCAAAAATCTCAAAATCCATAAATCTCACAAAACCCAATTCTATATTTCTCCTTAAACCACTTCAAAACCAAACTCCTTGAAATACACTAAGCCTCAAGAGCAATCACAAATTTTTCAGTAACCACACAGTGTATAACCAGAAAACCAGAAAAAAAAGTTTTTGAAAGACAACCAACTTGAAAACAGAAACTCAGTACAAAACTCAGTGGAGTTAATCACTCTTAAAATCTTAAAATCAAATCACAGTTCTTCTCAAATCTCCACAACACTAAACTCACATAAGTAATTTCTCATTCCACAAATTCAAGTTTTAACTTCTTAAAACAACCTTCACTTTCACTTCGTATCAAAGTTTAAATTTCCCAAAACACATTTCACATCCACTTTTAAAGTTACTACAACACTGCAACAAGTTCAACCAAAGAAAAAAAAATTAAATTCAAAATCAAAACAATAAGCTATTAAGCTCAAAAATTGACAAACCAAAAAAAAAAAAAATCACTGTTAAAACCAATGTTACACCACCACTCACAAAAACCTCACTATGAATCAACCTTTAAACTACTTGAAAAGCCAAATCTATGAGTAAGAATAATATCTTTTAACTACATTTCCAAAACTTCAAAAAAAACCAACTCTACCTTTCCAAAAAAAAACTTTGTTTTTTCCAAAATTCACAATTCAAAAATTTTGTAAAACGCACAACTCACTATTCTACTGTTTTCAGACATTTCTCAGACAGCAATAAATGTTCACAGAATTCTCAAACTAGGTAGAAATTCAATTACTCAAATTCAGAAAAGCTAAACAAGAAACTTCACTCCCGCTGAAAATTAACTTCCAAAAAAAAATTCAATCAATCCCTAAATAAACTATCACTGGTCCCACGCAACTTTACAAATCTAACCAAATTTAACCTTAAGAAACCAACATTTCAGATTTTTCAACATTTCAAATATCCAAATTTTTAACTCAATTCAATTAGGTACTGATTCCATGGAAAACAAATCCAATAACACATCTCAAGAGGTTTTAAAAGAAAATTACTAATTCCTGAACACCAAAATACCGCTCTGACACTAATTCAATTAATTAAAATTAAAATTCTTCAAAATAATCACTCAAAATGCAATAAGCAAAAAAAAAATCAATTCATTAACACAAATGCAATTCTCACCAAAACTTAAAAGTGATGATAAATGGATGTCAGTAATTGCAAGCATATAAAGTAGGGATGTATCCCAATGTGTGATTAACACGCGTGCCTTTTAACCTTATGTTGCAAACATACAGTTGCAAAAGTGTGAAACAGTAATCCTCAAAATCAATATGTAAATATGCAATACAAAATTTTGCACAAAACAAAATACTTAACTAAACAGGTACTGCGTGAAAATGTTTGTGTTGGATACAATAGTTTTAAAGTCCAAATGTGTATCAGTAGTACATATCTGGTATGCAACCTCAAACAATAAGTATAAAATAAGCACAGTAATACGACCACTGTATAGGCCTGTCACTGTAACTAACTAACGAGTAGGGTTTCAGTAAAAAGCCTAGACATGTGGAAGAAAACTTTCACATAAATATGCAATAGTGCACATGACAATCACCAGTCTCAAGTCAAAATTAAGTTCCACTATAAGCGCAAGCCAAAAGTGATGCAAAAATAAACAGCACAACAAAATTGTTAAGTGCTAAAAATTTGGTTCGAAAGTTCACGGCACCAATATGTTATATCTAAATCAAATGGTACCAATATGTTATAGAGAAAAAATCACGGTACCAATATGGTTTCCTACTCTGTTGACACTAACACTTAAAATATTTTTAACAGTAATATACTAATATCTATAAGCCCTGTACATTTTTGCGTTGTGTTTTCGGATTAACCCTGAAATCAACTTGAGAATGAGACGGGTAAAAATCATGAGCACACACACAAAAATTTAACCTTTGAATGATCTAGAAAAACTTATTTATTTAACTATTCATGCCAATTATAAATATATATATATATATCCATTAGTTGAAAAAAAAATATCAAAATATATTCAACAAAATTTGAACTATTGTTTTACACATTTTACATCCTTGTAATTACTATTAAATTTAATATTGCAAATCTGGTAAAACATACCAAAATAAACTATAAATTTAAGAACACTACCCTCCCCGGGGAGAAAATAATAAAAAAATTAACAAGCTACACTTTCTACTTCACACAGAATTCATCAATACAACAAAAAATTATTGCTTAATATTGCACTCAATATAATCATTTAAATACTATTATTGCACATAACAATTTTTATTATTTAATTTTTTTTTCTTAGATTAATTAAATATGGTTTAACCGGATAAAGATAAGTAATGACACATTTACTATTCTACAAACAAGTTCGTCCTGAGAAACAAGAATGCTCTAATACAAGCACTATTTCAAATCATCCTCACCAATGAGTAATTCAAAAAAAAACATTCAAGTAAATAATTTCCTGAAGAACTTAATTTTCTTAACCATTAAGTTAAGTTACAATAATTTTAATAAGGTTATAAATCTTTATTCCATTTAATGCTTTTACTTGATTGATACACCAAAGAAAAATGATTTCTATAGAGTTAGGATAAAGTTATCAACTACAAAAAAAATTTAGGGTTCAACAAATTAACAAATTAAGTTAATTCAATCATTTTAACTGCAGAAATCTATAATATTTAACTAACCAAGAATTAACCAAAAAAAAAAGAACTTATCTGTTAAGGAGCATCAAACAAAAGAAATCCATCGAAGCTCATGAGGAATGCTGGCAGCCTGTTGAATGAAAAAAGAAAAAAAAAATGTTCGTCGAACAGTTTGGATTCAATTACGGTAGCCTAGAAGTTCTAGTAGATTTTAGGATGAACAAATTGAGGTTCCATTACGGCAAGATAAGTGAAATACAGTGCTGGCGGCCTGTTGAATGTGGAAAAAAGATGTTCGTATGAACAGTATGGATTCCTTACGGTAGCCTTGAAGTTCTAGTAGAATTTAGGATGAGCAAATGAGGTTCCAAAAGCAACGTGTTTAATTTATTCATTATGGTAGCCTTGAAGTTCTAGTAGAATTTAGGATGAGCAAATGAGGTTCCAAAAGCAACGTGTTTAATTTATTCATTATGGTAGCCTTGAAGTTCTAGTAGAATTTAGGATGAGCAAATGAGGTTTCCAAAAACAACGGTTTTTAATTAACGCTCTGGTCTCGAGTGAAGCGAAGAATCAATGGTGCGCATCATTTTTCTAGAAATTTACTTCTGTATATTTTCCTTGAGATACACAAACACACACAACAAAAACTGATGAAAGAATTTCGATTTGTTTTTTTTTTTTTTTTTTTTTTTTGAAGACATAGATGCCCATACCTACGGCCCGCGCTCACAGCGCTTAGCCAAGAGGCCCGTAGGCCTATCGGGGAGAAGCTCCATTTTCTTCGTCGTCGGAGTCAGCTGTCGCCTCCGGCCAATTCAAAGGGCAACAGAAGTAAAGTGCAAAAAGTGTCAAAAAGTCAGCTCGTCCCCTAAAACAACCCGTTAAAAGGGAGAGCGCCGGACTGCCAAGTTGGCGCAACCCATTTTTTCGCCGAAAGTTGAAATAGTTGCAACCACAGCATACCCTCATGTTATCAAACTCGCCAAAACCACTATTTTGAAACCTCAACGGAAAATCTATGTCGCCAAACCCTCGCCAAAATAAACTGCCACCTGCGACCGGGGGAGATTAGGAATTTCAACAACCCTGCAAGGGTCCCAACGAAAGAACGCTGAAAACTCGCAAAAAGTGACTTTTCAACCGGAAAGAAGGCATTTCATCCCCCTTTAACTAAATCACAAGCGAAACGAAGAAAATCTACTAATTAAAGCTCATAACTGAAATGCAATTAAAGTTAGAAAAATGAAAGTTATGCCAAATTAAAGAGCTAATTTTTCTGCAACTAATGATATTAAATACTAAGAAATCAAATTAATTTTTGACATGAAAAACTGAGTTTATTACGCAGAAACAAAAATACTTATCCATTGTCTGCATGTACAAGATTGAAGACGCAGTTCGCGTAAACTCGGAAAGCCAAAATATATTACACTAGAATTAATAGGCCCAAAAAGAATATAACCAAACTTGTGTAGCTCAAATTTTGAATAATTATAACTTTAAAATTTTGATTTTTATTAATCACTTAGTTAAATTAAATTCGCTACACAACAAAAGCGCCAATTTATTAACACAAATACAGTCTTACAGACTTTACCAACTGGTGCTTACCGAAGCCAACGGTTTTGGTTGAAATCAAAAATAACGGATTAACTAAAATTAAAGAACATGAGTTTAGCTTAACGGCTTCACAATTCTCAATTTCTTTACAATATCACAATTTCAATGCGCACGCTGGCTCTGACCTAAGGTCAGCTTAACAAACCTAATGGCGAGAATATCGCAACGCCGTAGAATACTAATTCCTAGAGAATCAAATTTAGCAACGTGGATTTCAAGCAGGCTTACGCTCTAATTCTACCTTCTGAAACCTTCCTTAAACTGTCTTTTCTCTCTAACTCATTTAAATATCGCGAGAGCTATAATGTTACTTTCTGGCAGGAAAAATGGAAAAGAGATTGAAAGGAAAGATTATTAACACAAAATAACTGGTTAAAGAACTTAAATAATATTTTATAATGTAATGCAATTACAAGAATCATTAAATTCGTTAGCGTACATTACCCAGAAAAATTTAAATGAATTTTATAATAAGAATCAATTAAATAATGCATCATAATACCTGACTAAATAAATGTCTATTAACTGCAGCTTTAATTAAAATAAATAAAATTTAATTAAAATCTGTAATTAATTAAAAATATTCCTCGTATCTTTTCACGCTTATAGGTCATTATATACTATATCACAAAACGAAAATGCATTTGAAATTTTAAAATCTCCCAAAGCATGTCTGCGGTGTTATCGTCATGTAATATTTTGCAGCAATTTTTGCTCTGTTACCGTAATACGAATCTTTAAAACTGCGAAGTACTGTACTTACATTTGATTTTCGGTTGCAACAGGTTAGAGCTACGATTTTTCCTTCTTTGTTTTTAGGTTACGATGTTTTTGACTCAGCGTAGATCCACCAGTCCCCGAATTCGTGACCTATTGTTGACGTTCACAACCTTTACCGATTTTTTTATTAATGATTCTAGGTTTGCGGTAATAGTCTCTCGCATATGTGTGATATGTAGTTATGGAATATAGTTTTCGTTCTTTAGTCGTAAGCAAAACTTGGTTCTTTAGCTTTCGCAGTAAAGCTAAAGAACCAAGTTAGAAACAGCCCAATTCTCTAATAAAAGGTTTAAATTTAAGATTTCTTATTTGCAGTATGCTGCGAAAATGCATTAATAATGCATTGCTAAATTAATTAATAATTAATAAAATTAAATACAGTTTTTGTTTTACAAATGAAATACAATTTGTATTTATATAATTTTTGTTTCCTTCATAAATAAATTTTATGTTTCATTATTTCATTTTTGTCATTCTTTTAAAATTTCATTATGGTCGGACGGAAAGTAATCTGAGGCAACTGTAAGTCTTTGGAATATGAAACATAGCAAAAGAATTTTTTGCTGTTTTCTTAAAGAAAGAAACAGTTACGGAGAAAGGTTATTTAAAGTCGCCGAAATGCCCTCAGTGCCAAAGATTCGTCATCACTAAGAGTTTTATATTGTCGTACAAAGAACAACCTCAATCCTTCACAAATAATTGTAATAAAAGAAAAGCATTACTGCTGGAATTTTATTACAAATGCTCTTTTCGCATACCTATTTATTACACATATACTATGTATATAAATGGAGGCAAATGTAAAAGCAGTATGCAAACATAACAATATTCAGGATTGGTCAGCAAAGAGGTTGGACGAGACGATGCAAAAAATACATTCTTCTGTCAATTTCATAAACATCCAATATAGTACTCTCTGAGGACACTTCTGGGATGTTACTCTTTCTTTCAACGCTTGTTACTGGAGTACATATTGCAACCACTTCACCTTTCTTAATAACTCTCGCCTTCTCAGTTACATTGGCGACTCTCACTGGGATAACCGTTCTGGATAGGTCGACGAGTGTTTAGGCTACTAGTACTCCTTTCGGGCGATTACAGTTATTGGGATATTCTATGATGGCGTAGGGGAAATTTCTATTTTCGGCTGTGGATACAGGAAGTAAAAACTCGGTTCTTGCGGGTATTGTGATATCGTCTTGAGCTATAATTTTGTGGATACATTTCACTCCATCATTAGTTCCGAATAGGGCTATGTCCTCAGATGTAGAATGCAATTCGTTATTCTTAAAGTCCAAGGAAAAATTGTATTTCCTTAGAAAGTCCAATCCAAGTATGCAAGAATCAGTGATCTCTGCTACATATGCCGTGTGATGGTAAGCGGGACTTCCAAACATGATGTTAACGTTTACTTTTCCGTCGATGTCGATCTTCTTACCGGACACAGTCTGAAGGGTAACGCAGGGCGGCGTCCAGATAAGTTTGCTTCCCAGTTGTTGAGCCAAATCTTTTCGGATGACGGTAACATTGGCTCCTGTATCTATCGTCATATTGCAGGGAACTCCATTAATATGTCCTATTATGAAAACTTCATTATTGCCGCTTCTCACTGCAGAAATCTGAAGCGCTTTAAACTGGGGCTTTTCATTATCTGGCAACCTCCGCCCCGCGAGATAGTCACTAATTAGTTTCCCTGCTGTTCGTTAGAAGCGGTCTTAACATCCGTGCCCTGGGGTGTTCTGCAGTTTCGTCGTATGTGTTCTTCAGCACCGCAGTTCCAGCACTTTACGGTCGGTTTCTTGTCACCAATATTCCGTCTCAAGGGGTTCAATTGTCTAGTTAAATCGTCTAGACGAACAGTGACTTGATCCCCTGGTCCAGGACTTGAGCAGCTCTGACTGGGTGGCGATCTCGCCGGGTGGCTTGCTGGGCTGCCTCAAATTTTGTGGCGTACACTAAAGCGCTTCTCAAATCTTTAACATCCGCCATTCGCAGTGCTTTCTATATTTCAGGGTCCCGGATGCCATCGATGAAATATTGCAGCGACAGGATTTCTCTTGTTTCTGTCGGGCACTCCGAAAAGGCGTGATGTGACAGCCTTTCAACATCCTTGGCGAGCTCCTGAAGTGTTTCGGTGGGCTTCTGCTGACGGGATTTTAGTTGAAGCCTGCTGTAGTCTTTTAAACACTTCTCTCCAAAGCGCAGCTATAATGCGCCGGATAGAGCTTTAAAGTCTAATCTCTGGTTTTCGGGAAGAGTCAGCAGGATATCCGCTGCGTCTGCTCTCAGAGAAGCGGCGAGATGACAGGCCTTAGCTTGGGAATCCCATCCATTCGCATCCGCAACTATAGAAAATTGGGTCTTACACACTTGCCAGGATGTCTTCCCATCATATGTGGATAGCTTCAGAGATGGACGAGCAGGCATCGGTGAGAATTTAAGACCATCACTATTGCTCCCTGCCGTCGCTACGAATTTCTTTAAAGTACCCACTTCTTTGGCAACTGCAGCAGAAACCCTTTCCTCAATTTGTCGTTCAATTTGTTGCTGAACGGTCGAAACATTTCCTTCGACTCGTTGCTCCACAGCCGATACTCTCTCTTCCATTTGATCTTTGACCGAAGAAATCTTTTCTTCAATTTGTCCGACTTTATTTTCGACAGTTCCTATTCTGTCTTCCATAGCCTCGAATTTATTTTATATTGCGCAGGTTATTTCTCTTTTCATTTCCTCTTGACCTGCTTCAATCTTTTCTTGAACTGCTTCCATCTCCTTTTTAATAGATTCTTTCATCTCGTTTTAACAGATTCTTTGAGCTTTTCCTGACCATCTTTCATATTCTCTTTCATTTCTTCCTGTCCCGTTTTCATTTCTTATTGTCCCGCTTTCCTTTCTTTCGGCCCCGCTTTCATTTCTTCCTTAAACGAGGCAAAGGCTGATATCAACTGCCTGAACTGTTCTTCCATCGCTTTTGTTATTGGCATTCAAACCCCACTCCTGACACCAAAAATTGTTGCGTGGGTACGGGTTCGTTTGAACTGAATGCACAAGTCCAATGAAAAATTAACAAATTTATTATTATCATAACAAAAATGCTTAAATTTCCTAAAATATTCGTGCAGTATTATAATTTCTCACAGTAGTTAACTTTTAATTACTCAAACGTTCAAGAGAAATTAATTCAAAACAGCTAGAGAAAGCTAATCCGCGAATCCGCTGCATTCAACAAGAGCAGGTCTCTAAACAACAACAAACTAACTGATCATCAAATTGACCGAATT